AAAACCCAAAATTTAGGCTAATTTATGGAGAAAAGAAAAAAAATGTTTGAAAAAATTAAATGTTTTAAATTTTCCAACAAAACAAACGTACAACATGTAATAAGAAGACTCATCAGTTGCTGTCAAAACAAATAAAAGCATCCTTTTATTCTTGACACACACACAATCACACACACACAGATTTTATATATATATATATATATATATATATATATATATATATATATATATATATATATATATATATGAATATGTACGTATCTGTACGCGCTTCCCAATTGTTTGTGTAGCCTTCAATTTATTGTTTTTTTCTTACCTTTATCAAGAAACTATTCTTAGTTTCAATCTCTTCGCAGTTTCTGTCTGCTTCCTTTCCTGGAAAATTAAAAAAAACCTTTTTTTTTTTTTTTTTTTTTAAATAAATAATAATTTTAAGAAAAAAAAAACATGGAAAAATTGCTCACTGTGAACCAGAAAAGTAGGGCAAACAAGCAAATATTTCAGACCAAGACGAAGAAAAAGCAGCAGCCGCCGCCGCCGCAGCCGCAGCCGCTCAAAGTGGTCTACATAACAAACCCTATCAAGATCAACGCCACCGCCTCGGAATTCCGGGCCCTTGTGCAAGAGCTCACCGGCCAGGACGCCGACTTCTCGGAAACCGCCAGGTTCGCGGCGGCGGGGGCGGCGGACAAAGTGGAGGCCGTGGCCCCCGCCGCCGCCGCAAAAGTGGCGGCGGTGAAGGAGGAGAGTGCTCATGCAGTAGTGGAGGGAGTGGAGAAATTAGGGCAAACTAATTCGGATGATGTGGAACGGAACGGGCCGGGCTCGGATCCACTTTCGACGTTCGGGTCGTATCTCGATGACGTGGACGACGCATTTTGCACGGTGAAGATGATTGAAAATTACCCGACTCTGATGGCGTCTTCCTACCTGCAATGGGGCTTATGAGATCCTGCATCTGGTGAAATACATCGTTTAGTTTTATACCGTAGATCTAGATAAATAACTACCCACTAAACACTCATACACATGGATGTGTTATTATGTGTTAGACCGACGATGTAAAACTGCACAGTGTATTTTACCAGATGTAGGATCTACTGAAACCCGTCGCAGTGGCGTGAAGATGCTCATTTTTTTATGGATTAATGTGAAAATTAAATTAGGTACGTATTATGTTAATTAATTTGGTGAAATTTTATATAAGTACTAATTAGGTCAGTTTTTTTATTTTATTATAATAATTTTTTTTTTTTAAAATAATCTTAAGCATTTTGTTGTATTAGTTCTAATTAACAAGCTTAAGTATTTCATGGTTCAGATATGAGTACTGATCTGCAGTTTAGCCCTGGTCTTGCAGATATTTTCAGAATGCAATTTGGTATATAAAATTGAAGGTGATATATATATATATATATATATATATATATATATATATATATATATATATATATATATATATATATATATATATATATATAGAGAGAGAGAGAGAGAGAGAGAGAGAGAGAGAGAGAGAGAGAGAGAATGCTCAATATAAAGGGTTAATTGAGTAGCTCTTGGTTTTATCTGTCGGTCAACCGATCCACTTTTCAATCATATTTTAAAACCGATAATCGGTAAATAAGTACTAATCCGGTTGCACTTTAAAACTTTGTTTCAGTGCACTTTTTCCTTACTTATAATTCTTGGCGTATTTTTCGTCGGTATTGCCATTTATCTGTCCA